ATCCTTAATAAATACATTCCTATATATATATATATATATATATATATATATATAAATTACTGTTTGGGTCAGTAAATTGAAATGGCACCATTTTGGAGAGTATCACATACGTATGCAATGTATGTACGCAGATACGTTGTTTATGCTTTGATCTGAACGTAAACAATGTATCCGCGTACATACGTGGGTAACGCGGCGGAGACGAATTGTTGAATAAAGTCGTTATTTTAGTTTTCTTTGCACAAAAATATTCTCGTAGCTTCGTAAAATTACGGATGAATCCCTGAGGTCACATGGATTATTTTAACGATGTCCTTGCTACGTTTCTGAGCCTTGATCGTGTTAGGATCCTTGCTGTCTATGGGAGGGTCAGAGAGCTCTCGGATTTCATCAAAAATATCTTCATTTGTGTTCCGAAGATGAACGAAGGTCTTACGGGTTTGGAACAACATGAGGGTGAGTAATTGATGACAGAATTGTAATTTTTATGTGAACTATCCCTTTAAGTCTGATCAAATCACGCATCCCTGGCGTGTGTGCTGACCTGCGAGCGGGCCCGTCCTCAGTGATGTGCAGGATGCGTCCCGGCGGGTACAGGGGCAGGTGTGTGGGGTGGGAGGGCGAGTCGTCGGATGACAGGCTCTGGTAGGTGTTTGAGCGCTGAACTAACAGACTCTCCTCGCCTAGCAGCGGCTGGCTAAGCACCTCCTCCCGCCGGTTCTCCAGCTCCGTAGGGAAATCATCAGGAGTTCCTCCAAACAGCTCGTACCAGCAGCCGTGCATTAGGATCTTATACTGAGAGACAGAAACGTATCACTGATAGAGTATAGGCAGGCAGAGTGTCTGATTTACACTGAGTGAACGATCTTACCTTTGGCTTACTGCAGTTAGAAACCATTTTTAGTAATCTTCTTTTCAAGTCTTCCATGTTAGGGATGCTCAATCTACAGAAACAAAATGAGCACAATTTGAGGAAGTGATACGAACCAGATTATACAAATAGAAGTGATAAAAAAGGAGCCAGAAACAGGCTCTCTAAAGTTAGCCACACTTTTATGCATACAAATGAAATCAAGCAAGCATCTTTAAGCATTTTTATTTTTTCTTTATATAGCACTATATAAATGCAACTCAGTTGCCCAAAGTGCTTTACAAGGTAAACATAGAAAATAACACATCAACATGATAATAGTAAATAGCGTTAAAAAATAATACAATCCTAAAGCAACACCCATTTTAAAATGCCATAGAGAGTAAATGAATTTTTAATTTGGATCTAAAAATAGCCAGAGTCGGTGCCGTTCTAATAGCTAGTGGCAACTTATTCCACAGATTTGGACCGCTCACCGCAAACGCACTATCACCCTTGAGCCTAGATCTAGTTCGGGGCACTGTTAAGAGTGCCAGATCACTGGATCTAAGTGATCTAGAGGGAACATGTCTTACGAGGAGATCTGCAAGATAAGGTGGAGCATTGGACTGATGACATTGTGGCCGTTTGACTAAATCTCACCTGGGTACGAGATCTTTTCCCAGCACCACCGACACGACAAACTGCTTCGAGTAATCGGCCAGCGCTTTACTGAGGAGAGAGAGTAGACGAGCTAAAAATGTGCTGTTTACTGACAAAATACTACGTCATGTTTCTTTGGATGTGTACAATGATAATAGCAAACTGTGCTCTGTAAAAGGGCTGCAAGTGTTTTAGCATTGAATTTTAGGACTGTCAAGACCTTGATCTCAATGACCTCAAAGTAAAAGGCAGTGAAAGTCTGACAGTAATCAGTGCTGAGTACTATTGTTAACCCTGCCTGGTTTAAATGTTTAAAAATGATTAACAGTTGAAAATATTTGTTAGAAATTGGAGATGGTCCTCACTTCAGAACACAAGATCCAGGGGGCGTGGTTGCTACCCGTCTCCACCCCCTGATCCCTAAACCCACCCGTCTCCACCCCTAAACCCACCCGTCTCCACCCCTAAACCCACCCGTCTCCACCCCTAAACCCACCCGTCTCCACCCCTAAACCCACCCGTCTCCACCCCTAAACCCACCCGTCTCCACCCCTAAACCTACCCGTCTCCACCCCTAAACCCACCCGTCTCCACCCCTAAACCCACCCGTCTCCACCCCAAACCTACCCATCTCCACCCCTAAACCTACCAATCTCCACCCCCTAGATGTGGATCCCACCACGCCCCCCAGGATCTTGTGTTCTGCAGTGAGGGGCTACTGAGAAATTTAGAAAAGTAATCAAATGTAATCAGTTACATTACTTTAATAAGTAACAGAAATAGTTACACTACTTATTACATTTTAAATAGGGTAACTTGTAATCTGTAAGCTATTAATTACATTTCCGTAGTAGTGCTGTCAAACAAATAATCGCGATTAATCGCATCAAAAATAAAAGTATTTGTTTACATAGTATATGTGTGTTCGGTCTACAAAAACTTTTATTTTTGGATGTGATTAATCGTGATTAATCGTTTGGCAGGACTATTCCAAAGTAACCTTCCCAACACTGGCTGTATGTGAATGAGCCGCTGCTTTACCTCATCAGGCCCCCTGGTGGAGAGAAGGCGTAGCACTCGAGTGTGGGATGTGTGCTGCGCAGGAGAACGGCCAGCAGAGACGCCGCTCCTGCTCCCAGACTGTGACCGGTGATCACCAGCTTATACTCCTGCACACAAGCACAAGACAAACCTTCATTCGGCTGCTGATTCTCCTGCTGGATAATGAAAGTGCAGCAGAACCGCTCTCACAGGTGCGATGTTGAACGCCTGACTCAGAATCCCATCGTTCACTAGTTTCTTGTAGATGTAATGTGCAGCTTGACAAATGCCCTGCGATAGAGAGACATTCCAGCAAACATAAGCATTCAGTGAGAGAGATCGTGCTTCATAACTGATGTAGTGGGTGTATTGTTTTGATGATTTTAATGTTGAGATAGATGTACGTGATTTTGTCACCTTGTGAGCGTAGCAGGTTCCTGAAACGCCTTCGACAGACAGATTCTCACATTCAGCCGAGAGATCCGTCAACACATCCTGAAAACACACACAAACACAAAACCACATCAATTCCACTGTAATACAGAGAGATCAGGCTGATAGAGCGGATTCCACTGAAAACTCATATTAAAACTCAATGCCAATGATTAATCTCACGTTTTAGGCAATAATCAATAAATAATTCCACGCTGTTTTTTCTAAATAAATAAAACGTTAAACAACTAAAATCAACCTTTTAAATGCCACAAATGGATTTAGGCAGCACGACATTATGAAAAATTTGTATTTATTACAAGATTCGCTAATTAATCAGTGTTATTATAAAGATTAATTGTCCATTGTTTATCCATTTTTTTATTTTTTTATTTATACATAATTTATTACTCTTTTTTTAATATTCATTAATACATATAAAAAAAATTATATTATTTCACAGCGTAATAACTAATTAACTTGTTTTTAAAAATTGTTTTAAATGCTACAAGTGGATTTAGGCATCAAAACATTACGAACAGTATGAAAAATGTATATTTATTTCACCAAAACTGTATATAATTAGATTCGGACGGACGGACGGATGGACAGATGGATTTTTATTTACATTATATTTATTTATCATTTAATAAAAACAACTTTTTATGATAGGTAAAATGGGTTAACTAAACATCTGTTATACATTTGTTTTTAAATTTAAAAAAAGTATGTTTAAAAATTCTAATTAACTGCTGTCATTGTTAGTTCATGTTAACTAATGCAGTTAAGTAAACAAATTAAATCATATTATAAAATGTAAGAGATTAACTTTAAGTGAGCGTTACACAACAACAACAAAAAGAAGTAATTTAAAGGTAAAAAATATGGGGGGGGGGTAGAATAATGCACATGTAAATAAATGCATATTTTCTAATATATCACAGCTCTCCTCAGAAAGCCACACGATCAGAGGAATCATTACACCTGTGGCATAAACAGCACAGGATTAGTAACTCTCAACCCTAAATATGAGCGATAGTAAAAGCCCAGGAAAACACTAATATCGAGACTTTATGCAAACTCTATGAAATGGCTCATTTGAAAATGAAATGACCTCGACAGCAGCGAATAAAAGGTCAGCTCGGGAACGACTGGCAAGCGTCAAGAGTGTGATTTGTTTAGGGAAATAACAGCCTGACCGTCAGTCCAGCACAAACACACCTGCAGATCACACACGCTTGCTTTCTCTGATCATTATCAGTGTAGAACTGATGCCTGAACTCACCTTCAGCGACAGCGTTCCCCTCACAGCGACCAGGACCGCCTCTCTCTTGTGATCTAGCGCCACGTAAAACGGAATCTCGTAGATCTACAGAGTAAACAGACACTGCTGTAGGTTGGCCTGCACAATATTTGAAAAACTGACATTGTGATATCCTCAAGCCCTATAAGTAAATAGAGTTTAAAAATCAATCTCGTTCTACTTGAGTTTTTATAGGCCACATTCCCACTGTTTTTAACCAATTCAATATGCTTATAAAGTAATAGTTATTATGATTGTATTGTGATTATTATTAAATAAAATAATACAGTAATAACAACCCTTATGAGTCAATTTAAAAAAAGTTACACAGTGGTTCTTAGATGGCAAAAATGTCCATGTAAAAAAAAACAGTACTAAAAATATTATATTATTAATCTTTGTATCAACATCAGTTCTGATCAAAATTCCAAAAAATCTTTGGTAGTTATTACAGTCTTGGATTTGTCAATGATCAGCAACAACACTAATTTTTATGCATTATTGGTTTTTTTTGTGTCAGATTAAAAAAAAAAAAAAAAACCTATTTATGAGTACATGTTCCACAGGCCAAACCTGAGAAGAAAAGAGTAAAATTGTAAAAAAAAATAAAAATGTTTTTATTGTAATACAAATAATCTGAAAAATAATAAAACTTTTATTATTACTTAATTTTTTTAGATTATTTTTATTACAATAAAATTAATCATTCTGTTGGCTTTACAAATTTTTATTTATTTATTTTTTACAATTTTACTGTAAAAAATGTATACATACTATGTGTGTGTACTGTCTATATTTATTATGTATATATATATATATATATATATACACACACACACGTATATATTATAGAAAAATATGTTCGATTTATATATAAAATATTCATATTTATATATAATATAAATTATATACTAGTATAAATATAAGTATATACATACAAATATTTTTTTAAATATATTCATACATGTGTGTGTATTTATATATACACAGTGCAAACACATTGTATGTAAACATCAACTTTTATTTTGAATGCGATTAATCGCCCTAGATTCATGAGAATAAATGAGGGTGAAATTAAAATTCCAATAAAAATACAAATTTTTTACAAAATTTATATTAAAAAAAATGAAAAAGATAAAAAATGTCTCTAAGGAAGCACAAGGGATAATAACATATTTTAATTTGCTGTAAATACTAATATACATCTTATTTCTTGATTTTCAAATGGTAAATCAAACTTTTATTTTGATGGGTAGCCAGCAAATAAAAGAGAAAATCCCCACTGGTTTCAGAATAAAGCCCCACTGAAACATAGAATCATGAACCACGTGTCTGTAAATGTCATGCTTCATTCTAAAAACTGTGGATTTATGTAATGAAATCACAGCCTGCGCAATTTAAAAAAAATCACAAAGCCATATCATGTTTATTTCGATATATGTGACCATGGACCACAAAACCAGTCATAAGTGTCAATTTTTTGAAATTGAGATTTATACATCATCTGAAAGCTTAATAAATAAGCTGTACATACCCCAGCGACTTAAGACTGCTTTTGTGCTCCAGGGTCGCATATTGTATTCGAAACATAGGCATTCTGAAGTACACTGGAGTCACGCGAGACGTCACCTGGTTATGAAAGCTGATGTGGATGAAGTCTCTGTACTGCAGGCCTGTGCTCTGTAAGATGGAGGTGAAATGGCAGCCCAGGGTGTCTCCTCCGACCAGATCGTACTCCGCCTGACGGCTTCGACAGCTGAAACGCAGATTCAAATGAGTGCAGCTCTGCATTTAACACTGTTAGGGTTCAGCTGGCAAATGTCATACACACCAGTCTCCGCTGAGTTTGCAGAAGCCCGTGAGCGGGTTCGAGTAGACGTATAGAGGCCACCCGTATGCAGCCGCTGCAAACTGCATAAAGTGAGCGGCTTTCTCAAGCTCAACCTCCAGATCCTCCCTCTGAGAAAAACACAGGAGGTGTGAGCTCACCCAATGCACAAGCTACACTGTACATCCATCAGCTACTGCAGTGATAAAGACTCACTATAGGGGAGGACGGGCTGTGGGACAGGACCTCATCAGGGTCCCTGCAGTGCTCCATTTTGTCCTGTTCCTGATGCAGAAGAGCCAGACCAGCCGCGATGTCACTGGGAACCAGGTCTGTGTCCTGGAAACAAGACAGACAATGCGCCATAGCAATGGACGCCCCTAATAAATATATATATATATATATATGAAGAGTTCATTTGCAAAAACCGATAAACGCCACTTTCCAAAAAATGAGCAGATTGCCGTGCATTATTCTCCACATATAGCGCGATCTGAACCCTAAACACGTTTTGTCAAAAAAGCCGGTTT